GAATTCGATACAAATTCATTAGAAATAAAACTAAACAATTTCTATACAATTATAAAGTCAACAATCGAAAATCATGTCCAGTTAAAAACAAAAATCATCAGGAAGCAACCGATATGGTTTAAAAGGCCACTAATCGAGTTGAAAAACAAAGTCAGCAAAGCTCATCGGATTAAAAATATGGTCAAAACAATTGAATCAGTAGAAGATTTTAAACAATTAAGAAGAGAATATAAACGCAGTGCACGGTCAGCACTCAATGATTACAGAATTGAGATGGAGAATCTGATAGACAATGATCCAAAGAAATTTTTCAGACATGTGAATTACAAAAAAGGGAAAAGTGATGATCTGCCTCATGAAATGTCTTATCTGGATATGAGGGCAGAAGACCAGTCTACGATCGCTGGTTTCTTTGCAAAGCATTTTGCTTCAGCCTACAGCTCTTTGAAGGGAAATCTACAATTGGATAGCTCGGAGTTTGAAAATATTAGCAACATTTGTGCTGAAATATCACCGATTGAAATAACTGAAGAGCTTGTTGGACAACAAATTGACATGCTTCCGGATGATCTAGTCAGTGGTCCCGATGAAATACCAAATAAATTTATCAAGCATTGTTTGGTTTCATTGCGGGGGCCAATCACAACATTGTTAAGAGAATCTCTTGAAACATACACTGTACCACAGATTTGGAGAACGTCTTTTGTCAGACCGGTTTACAAAAACGGTGACAGAAACAACGTTCAAAATTACCGTGGTGTCGCTCTTCAGTGTATAGTGTCAAAAATTCTAGATTCGATCGTCACGAACCATCTCAATCAATATCTAAAGAACATAGTACACGAAAGTCAGCATGGGTTCATCAAAAATAGGTCAACGATAATGAACTTGGCAGAATTTACATCGAATACGATAATCAACATGGGAAAGGGACATCAAACAGACACCATATATTTGGACATCGCAAAGGCTTTTGATTCTGTGAATATCAAATTACTAATTCAAAAGCTAAACATCATGGGATTGAATACACAGCTGTTAAAATGGATCGAATCGTATTTGTCTGGACGCAGACAAATAGTCAAGATAGCAGATACCAAATCTGACCCAATTGAAGTAACTTCTGGTACTGGTCAAGGTTATCCCATTGGCGCAACTTTGTTCATCATGTTTGTGATAGATCTACCTTTCGTCGTGACCAAATCTTGCATCCTTTCATTCGCTGATGATACCAAGATTTCAAAATGTATAAAATCAGAAGATGACTGCATTCATCTTCAAGAGGATTTGGATCGTGTGGCAAATTACTATGAGCGCAATTTATTAAAGTTGAACGTTAACAAAACAAAAATAATATCATATCATCGTGGATCACTGAAATATGAATATAATTACAACATAGATGGCGTGCAAATTGAAAGAGTAGAGGTAATAAAGGACTTGGGAGTATTGCTTGATGTGAAGATGAATTTCAAATCACACATCGAGCATGTTGTTGCAAAGGCAAAATCAAGATTGGCTTGGTTAAATTTCAACAGCAGGGATTTTGTCGACCCATGGACTTTAAAACGCCTTTACTTTACATTTATATTACCGATTATTGAGTATGGATCTGAAATATGGAATCCACACTACGACAATATGTGCAAAAGAATAGAGTCAATACAAAAACAATTTTTAATATATGCTCTGAGGAGAATGGCCTGGAACGATTTTAGACTGCCAAAATACGAACACAGGCTACTATTTCTGCAAATGATTACTCTTGAGGAGAGACGCAAGATGGCGCAAGTGTCTTTTATTTTCAAAATTATTCACGGAGATTTAAAGTCAACTTATGTTTCAAACAGTATGAAATATTACGATCCAGCACATGATACCAGAGCAACACCACTATTTGATCTACCAATTAGGAGAACTGATTACACAAAATATGAGCCAATAAATTATATGCTTACAACATTCAACGAATTTTATACCAAAAAATTGCAAAACAGTGATAAAAATTTAATTGATTTAGAAGTAAATTTATCAACAGTAAAACTGAGAATAGAGAACTATTTAAAGCAAAGCAGATAAATACAAAAATTTGTTATGGATTATAGAAATTTTAAGCAGATGAAAAATTAATTTATGAAATTTATATTATTTACATGAGAGGAGCAATAATTTTACATTTTCTCTCTCAAAAATGCTTGATAAAAATCAAATTGTATTATATTATATATATTTAATTAAATTATTTTCAATAAACCACCAAGGCGAAGGAACGCTGTTCGGTGCAGTTATTATTTATTTATGAATGTATTTTGGTCATCGCTTTCAGCTTTGTGTTGACGATTTTTATTGCGCAGTTGAGTTTCAAAAGAATGTTGTTTGTAAACACAATGCCATGCATTGAGAAATTACATGTAAGGGTGAGCGAGATACACAGAAACAAATATCCGAGTATGGTTACTCGCACTTACGGTGTTAGCATAGAGTAACGCACTCTATTTTACTCCTTTTTTGGTGTTAATTTCATCCAAGTGAACGCATCATAGTGAAAGAAGAAATACATGTGTAGTCATAGCCGCATGCGTTCAACGTACATATGATTACACAAGTACACATGTATATCTTCTTTCACTACAATGCGTTCACTTGGATGAAATTAACACAAAAAATAGAGTAAAATAGTGTGCGTAACTCATTTTGAAGGGTAGACTCTCTGCTAACACCGCAAGTGCGAGTAACCGTACTAGGATATTTGTTTCTGTGTAGCATTGAACTACGATTTGCGTGACAGAAATAGCAGATTTTTACATTCGGTCGCAACAGATGTGCATAAGAATTGAGAAAAAAAATCTGATTCTTTTGTTCACTTTTTGTGCTCTATACCGATTTTTTTTCTTCGATTTACAAATACTATTAAATTTTCTGTATCATCTGGTGAAATCAGAATGAAATAAAGAGTCTTACGGGAGTAAGACGAACTTTTACGCTCAGGGACAAATTTTGCGTACAGAGGACAACGTATGACGTACGACGTGCAACAGACCCACAACAACCATGCTTAAAACGGCCTGATTCGGGTTCTCTGACCTCAGAAACGTCCAGCAAACATGTTTTTGAAGTGTCGTAAATTTTGACCCATTGTAAAAAGTCAATGTTCTTTATTATTGTTTACAAGATACTGTCTCGCTTTGATACGCATCCGTTTTGAGTCGCGTTTCGATATGCGACCAAACAATAAGTTGTTTTTATTCTAGAGCGTTCAATTAAATTCTGCATAGAACTGCGTATAGGATGATATATTTAGATGAAATCAAAAGTGTTAAATATTAAATTGAAGTTGAAAATTCAAACAAATAGTGCGACATTTAGTGTCCATACTAGTATCCATTTGTTGACTTGTTCAATTATACCTCAAGTGACTTCTTCGATTTGTATTTTTTGCATTTCTTCGGCATAAAGAGGCATATTGACAAGAAATAACTGCATCAGCGTAAGTTCTCAGTGTTCTACTATTAGAGCCAAAGCAATACAAGATAATTTCAATCAAGTTTTTGTTGAGATTTCGAGCGAAGTTTTGAACTATCAAGCAACTCAATGTGATGTCAAAAATCTAATGAATGATCTCTCTAAAATTCTTGTACAAAACTCTCACTTTTTTCAGTTCATCATCTTAGGACATCAACAGAATCGTGGCTCGTACTCGAATCAACATTACCATTGAATGTTCAAATATGTTTTTGATTTCTTACGGACAACATACCAATTTATTGTAGCTTCAAACAAATCTTGTTTTATGAAAATCGAAAAAGTCACTTGAGGTATAATTGAACAAGTCAACAAATGGATACTAGTAGTTATTGTATCGCGCTCAAACTTGGCATAGGTAGAAGTGCATGAGGGATGGACCTAGCCATAAAAGAGATGATGAAATTCCTTCAACGATTTACTTCAAAATGCTAAAGTCTAACTACTTTTTGGTCCCAATATACACATACACTCTGATTTCATCATCAACATTTGAAAATCCCATAATACATATTAAATTAATGAATATTGTTCTTTACGTTCAAAATTCCATTAATAACTTCTCTTTCCGTCACTGACATAAAGTAATTGTGCATTTGATCTTTATCAATAGCACCAGATCCACATAGTGATGCCGCTGCTTTCCGCAGAATTTTTTGCATTTTACCCAATGTATCCCACCACACTGCCTGGTCCTCAGCTTGTAACTTTGGAACTCTCTAAAAACATTAAATAATAACTTAAAAATAACATATAAACCACCACAGTGAAGACCGACATTACCTTATTATTAAAATTAACTAGAATTGAAGATATTGGTTGAAGCACTGATATAGGAGGAACAGCGTTCGAATCCTTCTTATACCACATGTCTAGCAAATTACCTGAAAAAACACCATTGTCAAAAAACTGTTTTTCTTTTCATTACATAATTAATATAACCATCAACATTTAAAGTAGTCAGTTCATCCCGCAAAAGCTGTAGTTCAGATGATAAAATATATGTTGGTATCGGTCGATAGCCATACTTTTGACCTAATAAATAAAATAAAAATACTTTCAATTGAAGTCAAACATGGAGCGGGGGCTTGAAAAATCGTGAACCGTTCACAAAATTGCATGGCCCCACGAAATTCAAATTTGATTGCAATAAAAATAACGTGAATACCCAAAAAGACGACAAAATTTGGACCCATTGATAATCGTTGACAGTTTTCGATCTCTTTCATGCATAGTTCCGTTGTCATATGATCATCTGTACTTTCGTCGCGCACCTAGGCCAATCGAATATATTAACTTTCACCTTTAGTACCTAAATATTTAACTAAACTTACCCCCCACCTAACCAATATATTAAAAAAATTAAAGCATTAAATATTAGCGATTTAAAAATAAAGTATTTAATATTATATATTACCTCATATCGACGACCTGAAAAAAAGTTTATTTTTGTAATTTATCGATTTTCAATTTTACAAGGACTTCTCCAAACAAAATGTAAAACATGCAAACATTAATTGTTTCTATGGGAATCAAGATCTATCTATTACCCTACATATATTCATTAAAAAAATCACTTTCGAATCTAAAAAATGAACAAATTTTAATATTTGAAAAAAATCAATTGAGTCCAAATGAATAACTTTCTATTATAAAAAGTGTAAAAATAAAAATTTAAAACCGAATAGTTTTTGAACAAAGACTTTAAATTTGCTGTTCTAGTTGTAGAGAATTATTACCTGGAACTCAAGACCATGTTTTTCACGACAATAATCCTTAATTAGCAAGAAGAAAAAAAATCATCAACATCAATATTAATG